TATCACATACGCTAAGATATTTAAAATTAAAACTACATACTATAACACTAAAGCTGTTTTCCGTGAATGCCGTGCGTTAGACTTTAAAAATGTCATTGATCTTACGTTTAAATAACCCCAGAGACTCTGTGTTCCTTATATCGCGTGGTAAACTGTTCCATAATGTGGCGCCATTGTAGCTAAAGCTTTTTCTGTAATAATTAGTGCGCGGTAGTGGAACATTAAGCTTATTTTCAGAGTCCCTGAGGTCATAAGCAGAGTCACGCCACGTAAACTTTGAATATAGATACCTTGGAGCTAGCCCGTGCAGACATCTAAACATCATGGTGGCTTTATGGATTTCCTGCTGGCGTGCAAGATTTTTCCACCCTAAAAACTCGAGTAGCTCAGTTGCATCAGCATCATAGAACCCACGCGACCAACTGGGGGCTTAAAAAGTTATTACCCCAAGCTTTTCCGACGACATGGCAGGAAATTATGCAGGCGTATTCTGAGGCCACACAACGACCTTTCGCTTAAATGATGTTAGATTTACATCTGGCTAGCGATGATTCAAGACGTATATTTAGTCATCTGCTAAGGCAGGAAGGAGGCATGCGGTGTTGTACTAAAAAATTCGAGAACAAATCGAGCTCTGATGCGCTTAAAGGGAAAGTACGGTCTAGAAAAAGTTTACTTATATCCGAGGTTCCTTGCTTGCATTGTCTTAACTGGCTGTTCATTTGAGCTTAAAACGTTTTAGTTGCGAACAATTACGTTCCAAAAATCGACATTTTAAAATTGAAATCCGCCATCTTTGTTGTGACGTAGCAGTAGTCAAGCATGCTAATTATATCCCTGCTGAAGTGGATTTAAACAAGAAGAACAGCGGGGAGGGGGGCGCCACTTAATAAATTCTCGACTTGGATTTTAATCTAGCCGAGAGGATGTAATACATCCATTTGTTTTAAACGAAACATGGCTCGTCTTCAGGGGAAGGAGATACCTCTATTGGGGAGAGATGAGAGATGGTCAGGAAAATGAATTTCAAGGAGAAACGTCGACCCGCTCAGTCACTCACGTCTTGGAAATCGTGAGTCGTTCTCTTGCGGCAACTGTCAAGAGAAACCCACGGAAAACGAGAATGTAACCTCCTAGGCATTAAATGTACTAGGACACCGAATCGATTTGAAAAGCAAGGGTTTTTTCCTCAAACAAATCCAAGCTGTAGAGTGGTAGTTATCTTGCTAAAGAAGACCGCAGTGCCCGCCACAGATTCATTTCAAATTGCTACCTCGGAATGAGACGAACTATTGTTGCAGTCAGAGGAACCCAGCTTCGGTGTATAACTGAACACGAGCCATTTGGAACAAAGAACAGCCCCAGTTGGTATGCAAGAATCTAGAAATTATAGACTTGAAGATTATTCTTCGTATGCGTAAAACTGACAAAACTGATTAGAAACACTTATTAATTGCCAAAATTAACGCAGACAAAGGCAGGCGTTAATTGTTACGAATTAAATTTTGTTTGATTCAGCATTACCCTTTAATTTGCAATGGTGTTTTTTGTCTTTATTGCTTAGAATTAGCTTCGATGCAGTATTTTTCATTCTAAAATGTTTCAAATGTGGAGACTTGTGAGAAATGGAGCTTTGTTACTTTCGACGCGCGCCAGGAAAGGGTGTAGTCAAAATGTGGGGTAGGCCATGGCCTACCCTGTGGCCTACCCTATGGTGTACCCTATAGCCTACCGATGGTCAGGTTTTTAAAAGGATAGCATTGTTGGAAACCTTTCAACGTTTTTCTGAGTACTGTCTTACCAACGACTTTCTTCTGCTGTTTCGGCGGCCACATTTCGATCAAAATTTCTTAACCTTCTGATAGAACAAGGAAATCGAGGAACAGAGGCCGGTTAAACGCAACCTTTAGGCAAACATCATCACATCAGCTCTCCTTTCAAACTAGTTCTTTGGAAAAGCAAGTAAAGTTTGCGAAATGTTTATGACAGCGATGCGTGCGTGTCCCGGGGCGCTTGTTGCAAATTCAATACTCTACAGCACTTAAGAGGCACTTAAAAAATTGGCCTGGCACGTAATGTTTGCGTTTTCGTACCTGGATATGTTCTCCGATATAACGCTGTTCATTACATTTTTTACACTAGCATTCCACTATATGTTACCAACTGGCAGCCTGTATCGTGAAGCCTCCATTTTGCATATTATCTGCAACCACGCAATATTGGCCCCTCCTTTCCCCTCCCCATTAGCCTACCGTTTTGGTTGAGTGCTTAGGCGAGTGCTGTAATATTTGGATTGTTTCGTTCCCTCTGACGTTGAAAATTGTGTTTGCGACCTCTTAGTATACCCTTTTTAGAGGCATAGAATTGTATGCCAGCGTATTCGTTCGACTCTTACTGATTTTATTTTTATGCTTTTAAAAATCTGGCCACCGGTAGGTCCTAGGGTAGGCCACTGGGTGGGCGATGGCCTACACCATGGCCTAGGCCATGGCCTACCCCACGTTTTGTTCACACGCCCAGAAAGTCGCCTCTGTCAGACAGTGTTTACATTAGAAACTACCTCAACATAGCTGAAGCTAGAATGAAACTTTCGATTTCTTTTGAAAGCATAAGCACTGCATAATCACGTTAAGGAGTTGGTTGGAAGACATAAATATTCACGTTATTTTTATTGCGTCCAATCGATATGATATAGCGAAATGAGGGCGCCTGCCTGACGAAAGATAGTTTGTATTTGTCGCAAACGTGTCTCTCTTGATCATATGCTAGCAATGTATTAAACATCATTTAGTTATTTTTCTAAGGCGAATGTGACTGGCGGGGAAAAGAAAATTTACTAAGTGGACTCATAACAGACTTAGGAAAGATAGGATATATTTATACACTGCTTGGAAAAGCGCATGATGTTGAAAATTGGCATTGGTCAAGGGTGGCGACTGAGAATTTACCACACACGGTGTACCACCATTTCAAGCTTCAATTTAATCGTTTACAATAAAATGGTTTGAAAAAATTCATAGAATAAATAACTGAAATCTGTCTTGAATATGGAAAAGGTAATCATAGCTTTCAGTTCGAAGCAAAGGTCAACAAGGAAAACTCGCATGCCTGTATATTTCGCTGGAAATCTTCGTTTTAGCAGATCTGAGGTTTTGCAGGGTTCGGCAAGCCGTCGTCGCGGGTTATTTTTGCCGGCTAACTTTTCTTTAATATTTCACTTTCCGGTAGCTTGTGGAGGCTTACACCTTTTCCTTTTGAATCTTAGTATGTATTTTCACATTCAACCACGGGACAGTTCATCTCATTTCAACTATTAGAAGTATTAGGAATTGTTTTCAAAAAAAAAAAAAAAAAAGTCAAACATGTCAACAAGGACAAAGCGCCGAACAATTTGGACTATTGGTCAGTTCACAATGACGTAATATCCAAAATGGCGTTTTTCTAACCAAGACTGAGTGGTAAAAATGGGTAACTTCGAAGCGCTCTTGTCGCTAATACAAAGCAAACTGGACAAAATGGCAGTTATTTTCGAAATCCTGAAGAAAAAGTCTTCCAATTGAGATAAACTTTTTCTAGACCGTACTTTCCCTTAAAAACTATTATCGAACGCTTCAATGCACATTAAATTTGCCCCCCATTGTTTCTTTTCTAGAAATCGTGCGTTTTAATGGTCATGTCACACACACTATAGCTTGTACATAGCCACGCCGAGTTACTGGTGTAAACACTGTAGTAGGGGAAAAGTATGTAATTTTTTGCAAAAAGAAAGTCAAAATAAAACATGAAGTAAACAATCTCTGTTACACTTTATATATGACTCAAAATTTATCACGTGCTAAGATTACAACTCGCGCCTATGGACAATTTATATAATACATTTATTTACTAAGTGTTTTACTGTGCTTCTAATACCCCACAAAGTTGCAAGTATTTTTCTCGTAATTCAGCCAATTCAGATTTTATTTGTGGTAGTTCCAATGGTTGCAAAGGTTTCGTCCGGGGTAATCCACGCTTGATTTGTTTCCTTTCATCTTTCAAGGTCTGATATTGCTTCAGATCCTCCGACAGATGAGTTTGAACCTCGTGTATCGTTTGACATAACACCACTGTTTTGAAATCATTGCATGCCTTTTCCACCATGATTTGACCCTCTGCAGTTTCCATCTTGGGAATCGCAGTGATTTTTAATTTTTTAGGGAACGTTCCCTGTTCTTGATGTTTTATTTCCTTGAGATACCGCTCTTGAATCTTGATACGTGATCGGATAGCCATCAATTTATGTCGATACTCTTTGAGAGCAAAACAACGATCTTGCAGTGACCTTACCATATTCACTTGATGCAGTGAAGTTAGAAAATGATGAATGTAATCTCGATAGTTTGTTTTATCTGTTTTCTAATATCTAATTTCTTTTATTAGCGACATAACCGTATATGATTTGCTGATGAGCAAGAGTACGCATTATAAAACGTTACGCCCACGAACAATGGAATAAGAGTCACTAGATGGTGTAAACAGTCACAAAATGTAATTTAGTCACTCAACATACCCGAGAGGCCTGGGTCCGAGCAATAATTGGGCATGGCCATGATGTAAATGATAAAAGACTGGACCCGAGGTTACGCGTTTGGGTTTCGTGGAGTAGATAAGAATTTCATATGCATATGGTACATATTTACACTTTACACACATGCCTTATGCGCATGCGCCATCTTGATTTTTAATGATGACTCTCACTCGATCTTAAATCTCGCGAGTTAAGTCAGACTTTCGAGATCTCGTGGGTGAAGCCAGACTTTCGGGATCCCGCATCTTGATTCACCCCGAGACTTGCGGGACTTTCGCGGGATTTTGGCCCATACAGACTCCCTATACTACTAAATTCTTATTTATTTATCGACAGCGTCTTGAAGGGAATTAAATAGCTGCTCGTTTATTCTAACTAACTCTTGTCTTGAACCGTCTAAGTTCATGATGTTTGCTACTCTTTCGATTTTCAGAGACTATCTGGAAAATCCACAATGTCTAAGCGGCCTTTTTATGATCTGCTACCGACCATTGAATGTCAAACTCCAAGAACTGTTCTATGCCGTTTTGCTGATACTCCAGGTAGTGAAATGAAATTTTCCCTCTATCCTTTCCCAGGTATCTGATACTATAGTAAGTTTCCTTCAATTTTTTCCAGATAAAAAAGACTTCAATCCTTTGTTTGACGTCAAAGAGTTTCGAAACGCGCCGTTCCAGCGGGTTTATCAATATCTTAAACTGTCAAATGAAGGAAAGAGTTTGGACAATTTTACGTTTTCGCCTGGTGATGTCGATGATGATCAAAGGACTTGCCTCGTGCTCCTTCTCAGGTTTGTTGCACACAGTGCCTAGTTCACAGATACTGTTTGCTGTCTCTTTCTTTCCTGAAATGCACATCAGCAATTTAGAAATAAATTACAAGAGGTTTCTTGTAAAAAAGACGTCCCTCTATTTTGCTGTATCAAGGATCGTAATCACCAACAAAGAGGAATAGAGAGATACCTTGTTCTTATTGAAGATTGTTTAAACAAAGTACATATCATTGTTTCCCCTGCAGAAACTGCGGTATTCCTGATCCGTCGTGGTCAGAGATTCGTCATTTTGTGAGTTTTTTGAACTCGCAGCTCCGAGACTGTGAACACAGTTTTTACTGTGACATGAAGCTGATGAGGACCGTTTTAGAGGGACCCCATGTGCTGAATCTTGAGGGCTTCCGCTCTTTTGTTGTGCGCTTTATGATACAAATGTCAAGGGTTAGTTGACATTTCAGTTCTTCTCTCAACTAACGTTCTGACGTTGTCTACCGCTTCGCTGTCAAGGAATGTAGTCACGCTATCTAGGACGTAGATTTAGCAGTGTTCAAACAAATCTTTTGATGACAGTCATAAATTAATACAAGCTTTCGGGAAAAAAGGGCTCGGATACTTGACGTTGGCTTATATTGACGCTTTGTTTTAGTGTATTACCATGATTAATGGAGCTTAAGAGTTTTTTTGTACTTTCTTGGTGGCTTTGCAGTAGCAGTGAGTACCATGAGAAGGTGATTTCTTTCCTTTTAGGATTTTGCCACTCCATCTTTGACTGAGGAGAATACTGTATTTTATACAGAGGATAACGCGGAACTTGAACGAAAAGAAATTGAACAGTTTCAACTCAGGAGACGTTGGGAAAGCAGGTGAAAGTTTAACTGTTATTTTTTTGCTTAAGCTCCCATGTTTTATGCACATTATGTCTCACGATAGTTCTTTTTTATGTAGTCCTCATCCATACCTGTTCTTCAACCAAGACCACGTAACTATGACGTTTCTTGGTTTCTTCATCAATTGCGCTGGCGATCTTGTTGACCCACAAACAAGGCGAACTTTGGAGAAGGGTTTAATGTCCAAAACTTTGCGTATTGGACTGCAGGCCCAACGTGTCGATTTTGCAACAAACATGGAGACCTCCAAAAAGTAAGTGCTAGACAATCAACCTCTTTGCCTTCCAGTCATTATAGTTAACGTTAATAAATGTAGGAGTCGACATTCAGGGTTTCTGTAAGGGTTTAATGACGATACTGAAATGTGTTATGCATAGAGTGAAAGTGATAGATTGTTTCTTTCGTATGAAGTGTTTAATAAGACTGACAAAATTCCAGAAAGAGGGCTCATGGGCATATGGCATTTAAGGGGAAAAGTTTTACAAGCTGCCCTTCACCCCAGATTAAGGAAAACAAGTGGAAGTTCGTCGAAAAGTCTAGTGCCTGCGTGGTAGTTTGTCCCATTGTGATGAATTTTAGGCAACATGTTTACTCTGTTTTAGAGAAGACAAGATAAATCAATTATGTTCTGTGATGGGTGTAAACTGGTCGTACGATCCAGACCGAGCCTATGAACTAACTACAGACAATGTCAAGAAGATTCTGGCTATTCACATGAGATTCAGGTAAGAGATGGTATCATACCGCTTTGACGACCCTCCTATTTTTACCACGAATTATGGTCACATCGTGCAATGGTTAGAGCAAATTCAACTATCCGCCTACAAGGGAACTAAACTGATAAGGATCGAACACAAAATCCAAAAACTTTATCAACGTTATTTTTCCTTTGCCTGACAAAGCAAATTGGTTTTCGCTCACGTCTGAGCTTTAAAATTTGCAGATGCAACATACCTGTGATTGTGATGGGTGAGACTGGCTGTGGGAAGACGCGTCTCATCCGATACATGTGCGGCCTACAAGCAGGGCCTAAAGGACCCCGAAACATGCTTCTCGTTAAGGTAAATTTATTGTTAGAATTCAGTACTCGTTTCCATTGTCTGTGCCCTCTCGCCATGTTCTCGTGATGCTTGTTGTGGAAAAGGTGATATTGATTATGAAAGTGGTTGTAGTGGTGGCGGTGGTGATGAATCCGGTGGTGCTACTCCTCCCGAAGATTTATTGTTGGTGAATCGAATGGTGATGCAGATATTGATACGGTTGAGGTAGTGATTGTGCGATTTTGATAATGGGCCCATCTTGATGGTAATAGTGGTGGTGATGGGGGTAGCGGTAGCGATGGAGAATGGGATGCTCTTAGTGGTGCTGTTGTTAATGGCTAAGGTGTAGATGGTAGCTGTAGTAAGGATGGTGGTGGTGGTGGTGGTGGTGATGATGCTGCTGCTAGTGCTGCTGCTGACATAACAGATGTGTTGGTGGTGGAATTGTTAAATTAGTTGCTGGTTACAGGGATGTGGGGGAAGGAAGTGATGGTGGTGGGGTTAGTGGATTAAAGGATGGTAGTTTAGGGGAAGACGGTGCTATTGCTGTTGGTTTTGGTTTGAAAAAATTGGGAGGGTGGGGATATTCCTAAAGATTGTAGGTTTGGTGTTGCTGTTGCTAATAGTGGTTTGAAACTCAAGGCGTCTCGTGATAGTATTTTGCTGCAAATGTTGGTGGTAAGGTTTTTCGGTGGAAGCAGAGCTGCTTGTTTTGGAAGAGACAGTGGGCTGGTGGTGACGATGAGGCGGGTGGAAGGGACGATAGCACCCCTGCTACCTGTGGCTGGGATGGTAGGGAATCAAAGTGATGTTAGACAACCTTGAGTCTAAGAACCTTAAACAACACGTGACGACGTCCAACGCGCGTCCAACGCACGACGACGACCATACGCTCGACTTAGTCATCACGCGTCAGTCGAACACGATCCGATTACGACAACTCAAAGTTGGCTGCCTCTTCTCCGATCGTGCGGCTATTTCTGTTCTCTAAACTCTACAAAGCCTGTTCTAAGCTCCAAGCTACATAAGTACATGAAACTAAAGGTAGTCGATGTTGCAGCGCTTTAAGATGACCTATCAATCTTCCGCCCTTTAATGATAACTTTGCGCAGCTGGATGAGGGAGTGAATCACTATAACTCGACATTGTTGTCACTCACTGATCGTTGTGCCTTTTTGCACATGAGAAATGTTGTAAATAGGCCACGGGTTCCCTAAATGACAACATCAAGACTGAGGGAGATGCAAAGCCGAACAAAAACGATGGGCCAATAGGAATGCTGAGAACCTAGCAGATTTTAGAAGGAAAAAAAACCATGGCACTAGATTAATGAACAGTGCGCGCTGTAAGCACAACGGAGACTTTATGCGAGAAGCTTTTAAGAGCTGCCAAGACCTTACTGTTGGAACCAAAGACTGCAATTGCTGGCTGGAATGGATGCTCTGTCACTTGCTGATCATAGTGGTGAATTTTTCGTTCAGAAAGTTAGAGAAATTACATGTAGTTGAAACCCAGTATACAGTCGCCCTCCTTCTCTAACTATTCCATTTCATGTTGTACATATGTGGCAATATGTGGCTTGTACTGCCCTACATACCTGATCTTATCTCTATTAAGTATGGCACAAGTTAATTTTTGCGATCCACGAATGAAATTCGCTTAAATTATACATTGCGTAAGTCTTATGCCACACTTGGCGATCTCTTTTTTAGCATGACTTCCCCAAAAGTTTGGGACTCACTTCCGACGTATATCATTTATCAGCTAATTTTATCGTGTTTGTTTTATATAATTTGTAAAGCGCACGCGAGCATTGCATCATGAAGAATGCACCCTATAAGTTTATAAATTGTTACTTTACTATATCTGCTTCATAAATATACACTTTGTAGTTACAATTTACAATTTATCACTTCTAGAGCGCTATTTACAATGACAGATCAACAGCTCTTTACAATCAATCCTAACCCGCCCATCCCACCCCAAGGGAGGACATCCATC